GACTTTCTATTTTTAAAAGGTTAAAAATATCTATTTTCAGACACTCAGCCCAGGAAGCGCTGGGGTGAAGCGACGCGGCAGGACGGGAGGAGTAAACAAGCGCCGGGACGTGCCGGGAGGCGCGGGAGCTGCGGCTCCGGGGATGCTCAGGGGACCGGGACAGCACGGGACACCACGAGCCGTGGGCGTGGCCACAAGGAGATGTGGGATCGCATAAAGCTGCAGGGCTCGGTGCCAGTGGGGATGCTCAGCCCCGAGGGAGGATGCTCTGCGACAAGGTGGGATGTTCAGCCCCTCAAGGGAAGGTGGTCCACATCCAGGGGGATGCCCAGCCCCTCGGTAGGATGCTCAGCCCTTGAGGAAGGGTGCTCAGCCCCCAGGGGGATGCTTGGCACCCATGGAGGATGCTCAGCATCGAGACAGGGTGCTTAGATCCCGAGGGGGGATGCTCAGCACCCAGAGGGAATGCCCAGCTCTTGAGGGGGATGCTCAGCACCCAGGCAGAACAGTTTATCTCCCTCCACATCACAGGTCTTGGAGCCCCCACGGCTAAGTGTGAGGGATGGAATGCTTGGCTACTGCACATGGAACCCACTGAAGGAACCCACTTCCTCCTCGTGAGAGGAAGGATGTGGAAAAACCATCTCCAAAATCTCACAGATGCTTTTCCTCCCTGCGTTTTGCAGCTTTGCTCCTCTCTCCACCAAGGTGAAGGTCCTGGTGATGCTCTCTGGGCTGGCTCCAGCAGTGGCTGTGCCCCTGTGCTCATCCCTTGGCCACACCTGGGCACCTTTCCCTGTGGTTTTCTGTTGCAGACATCGAACGTGCCACATCACAGCCCAACAGTGATTTTAGGGGTGACCTAAATTGGGGCCTTCCAGGACCTGAAGGGAGCCTACAACGAGGCTGCAGGGGGACTTTGGACAGGGTCTGGAGTGACAGGACAAGGGGGAATGGCTTTAAACTGACAGAGAGGAGGGTTCAGATTGGATATTAGGAGGAAGTTCTTCCCTGTGAGGGTGGTGAGGCCTTGGCCCAGGTTGCCCAGAGAAGGGTTGTTAAACATTGGAAGGGGCTGCCCAGGGAGGTGGAAGAGTCCTCATCCCTGGAGGTGTTCAAGGAACAACCGGACGTGGTACTCAGTGCTCTGGTCTGGTTGACAAGGTGGGGATCAGTCACAGATTGGACCTGCTGATCTCAGAGGCCCTTCCCAATCTACCTGATCCTGTGATTCCATGATCCACAGCACTGACACACAGCCCTGGCCCTGGACCGCTCTCCCCTCTGCCAGCGCTGGGACTCACTGAGCAGTGTTTTGCTTCCTTATAAGGCCCTGCTGTTCCCTGCTCCGGTATCTTAGCTGGCATTGCCTCTTGGGAGGGCAAACAATTCCCAGCAGGCTGTCGGGACACCCTCCTGCCCAGCTCAGTTATCCTGGATTAGCAGCACTTCCCCGCATCCCTCCTGTTTTCCTTTTATCTCCCCCCGAGCGGGAAGAGCTGGAGGGTGTTTTCCGAGCAGGCTGCCTGCGGGAAGGAGGGTTGTAAATCAGCTCTGCTATCTCCTGAATATGAGATGGGGATTTTTCATCCCTTGGAGCAGCGTTTCCAGCCCCTTCCCAGGGGCTGCTGGTTCTCAGGTACCTTGTCCGACTGGAGCCTGGTGCATCAACAGTTTTAGCCCAGAGGAAGGTACAGCTTCTTAGCCCACCTGGAAAACAAGGATGAAATTTCCTCCGCCTGAAAAAAAGGCTTTCAGGGAGCGAAGAAACACTATAAAACACGCTTTATTTAATACATGAACAAATACCCTCTCCCACTGCCTCTTCTGAGGCTCTTCCAGGGGTGTAAATGTGGTGGGAAGGGAGATCCAGGGGGAAGAGGAGAGGAGATGCCCCTTGGACATGGATCTCCAGCTATAAATCACACATACACAAATATAAAGACCTCTGCATCTCCAGGAGGTTTTGGACCCTGAGCCCCTCCAATACCACGTCCCGAGGTAGGAGATGTGCTCCCTGCTCCAAGAGCCAGAGCCTGACTCCTGGACATTTAACCCCCTGCCAGCCCCCAGGTGACAAATGGATGACATCCACCCACAAAGGAGCCTTCTCCCTCTAACCAGTTCCAACTTCTTGCTCCCAGGCAGTGTCTGGGGACACTTTCAGCCTCGGCTGAGGGGGCATCCAGGGACCTGAGGCCCCCCTGGGGCTGGCAGACCACAGAGTGTGGGAGTGGGGAGTATTAGATCATAATTTTTAGAAGTCTGAAGTTTGCCCAGGTCCTGCTCCTTCAGACATTAAGTCATTTTCCTGAGGAAGTGGCGTGTGACGTTGATCTGGTTATAGAGGGAATATAGGGGTGGAGCAGGGAGCTCCAGGGAGACCACGGCAGAGATGAGGACCAAGAGCACTGGGACACCATGTCCTGTCAACATCTGCCACGGGAATAGGACTCTAGGGGTCCAAATGCAATACAAATCCTGCTATTTTGAGGTTTCAGATGCCCTACAATGCTCAGTTCAAAGCTCCCAGTTTTGATGGAAGAACTCTTTATACACTTCACCAGGGAAACATCTTTGATTTCCATGCAGTCAAATACCATGCTGACCCTTGGAATCCAGGATGTGACAAATCATTTAATGAATACAGACAATAGAAAAAAATACCTCTGTTTAATGGGATTTTTGACTTATTGTTACCTTTGAAAATACACCCTCTACTCTATCAAGATAAACAAAAACACTACAGCAGGGTGGGTTTTTCTTCTAATAGTTAACTTTTTGTTTTTTCTTTCCCTGGGACACCTCAGGGGCACAAACCCAGCGATGCCACTGGTTTGCAGGGGATCCTCTCAAGCCTCTTGGGGGTACAAACTGCCTTGGGCGACATCACTTCAATCCAGCCAACTGGTCACAACTGGTGTGTGCTGGGATTTCCCCAGTCCCCAACCCAATCTCCAGGTCAGAATGACTGTAAACACACTCAGCTGGCCCTTTTACTGGCCACAGGTCAGGACATTTTTAGCTGGGTGGCATTTGTTTCATCGTCACAGTCTCTAGATTATATCTCTCTGCCAACCACAAACCCTTTACAAACCAGCGTGTACATCCATATCCATACATATGTCAGGCTCACACCACTCAAACAAACACTGGTTGGACATTGGTTTGGGAGCACTCACTGGCCCAAGCTTCAGAAATGCTCAGCATCAATCCCTTGGGAAAATCTGGTTTTTTACATCTGTCTATCAACTGAAGCACCAGAAAAGCAGGAGGCACCCAAAACAACAGCTCCTTTCTGATTTACAGGTCCATGGTGATTTACTCCTCTCCATTAGCCAGGTTCCTCAGGACTATGTGCTGTGACACACTGCCTTCAGCAGGTAGATGATGAGGTGTCCCAGAAAACTCTTCTCTTGTCTGGGTTATGCCTGTAAAAACCACTTCAGGCAACCCAAAACCTACCAACCCCAAAATGCAGCAGGTGCCTGTCTGGTGTTACCAGCAGTGCCCTCTAATCACTCTCCCCTCTCACTCATCAGCCTTCAAGGTTAAAGATCCAGTTGCTTTCCCAACAACAGCAAAGCCTTCCTCCAATTCCTCTGCAGCCAATTGGGTGGGAAGTCTCAAAGCTGTTTTTGTCAAGCCAGAGCACCAACAGTGTCCTGGTCTATAATTAGGCATCTGAGCAGCTTACAGGGGATACATTCAAGGAAGAAAAGAGTAAGAGGGTTTTATACGCACTTTTTTTGTCCAAAAAAAAGGTTATGAAAGGCAGGGCAAAAACTATTTACCAGTCTTAGGGGAGAAATTAAATTCATTTCATTCAGTTAAAGCTGAAGCAGATGTTCAATATTTGTGCCTGTGTCTGAAGACCTGCTACGTTATGGCTTTTACCCAACGTGAATGTTCAGAACAATCTGGAGAGCTGAGGGCGTAAAAAGAGAGGAGAAAAATGCCACATCTCATCTCCTAACTTAGCAACAAACAGGTGAAAGGCCAGATAAAAAAATATAATTTCATGTGAACAGATTAACAGTCTTCCAAGAGTTCCTCTAGATGTTGCTTCTGGCTGGTAGTTCCCACACTGCTTAGTGAAGATGATTGAAGTTATTGCAGTAACAAATAAAAAAACTTTTCTCTAATACAAAATCTAGTCCAGAGGGCTTCCTTACACAGTAAGCAGGATCCCTTATGTAACCCAGGGTTGCACATTGTCCTCCTCCCCCAGCAGCAGCAGCTGCTTGCAGAGAGACGCACAAAACCAGGGAGCTACACTCCCAAGCTGCCAAGAGGACCAGGAGAAAGATCCAGTTCATTTCTTGTGGAAAAAGCCCATGATGGAGACCTGTTTGTTGGCTCTGTTGGCAGGAGCTGCTCCTTTCTTCAGGCTCTTCCTTTCTTCCTTCGGTTCTTTCTTCATGGGCAGCACAGGCTGTTTGTGTGCAGCTGGTGGCTTGGGCTTGGGGAACTCCTCCTCGCTGTCTGTGCAGGATTCACTCTCATATACCTTCTCAGTCACTGGTGGGAGGAAGAGAAGAGCAGATGATGATGATGATGATGATGGTTAAGGCTGCGTACCAAGGAGTAGAGACCTCCCCACCACAGCCTTCCCATGGCATTTCTGGAAAGGAACATTTTGGGTTCAAGGAGCACGTGTCAGACACAGGAATTAAGTCCATTGCTCAAGGTTAAGCAGTAGGAAATGGCCTCAGGTTGTGCCAGAGGAGGTTTAGATTGGATATCAGGGACATGGAAAAGGTTTTCCAGCCCTGGCACAGGCTGCTCAGGACAGTGGTGGAGTCCCCATCCCTGGAGGGATCTAACAGCCATGTGAATATGGCACTTGGGGACATGGGTTAGTGGTGGCCTTGGCTGTGCTGGAGAAACAGACTCAGTGATCTTAGAGGGCTTTTCCAACCCTCAGTGATCCTGTGATTTGAATTCATCTTGGAGAGGCTGACAAACAGCCATCAGAAAGTGATGAATCTGAACGAATCAGTTTAGCAGTAGATGATGGAACATCTATTTTATGGTTAAAACCCACCATTCTGACTTGGTCTGATTTTCCACAGGGGCCAACACAACAAGATGAAATCCAGACAAGACAACCTAGAGACAGCCCCAGCTTCCCCTCACCAGCACATCAGACAGTCAGGGAAGACCAAGCAGTTTTCACTCAACTCACGAGAGACGGAGTAAAAAACCTTTGGGGCAGCTTCTTTCCACAGAGGTGGCCAAACGTGGCAGATATAAAAAAATCCTTTTGGAAGAAATAAAACCAAAGCCGTGGCTGAAATCAGGGATATGCCTGAAGGGGATTGCCAGCTCACTGCTGTCAGCGTTCGGTGATGGAAAGCCCAGGGATATAAAACCAGGCTCACGGAAATTAAAGTGGAGGCAGCTCCCCTGATGAAAGCCACCGTCAGATACTGGTAAGTGTTGTTATATCAGCTTTCCCAGCAGTGTTCTGGGATTCTTCTACTAAAGCTATTTTTCTTTAGCAACTGTATTCTTTTAAATAAATGTCTTAACTTCCCTTCTTCTGGGAAATGGGCTTTCACTTGTACTAATGCATCAAATTTAAGAATGTTTTCTACGTAACCAGAGATCGGGAAGAGGAATGCTATGAAATCCTGCTCGGCAGCACTGAGAGAACCTCAAACAGGGACTGGAAACCAAGCAACCTCCCTTCAGAGGTAACAGGCTTTTCAGGGAGCAGCTTTCACAAGCCACCGGCCACTGGGTGAGCTTTAAAAACTTATTGTGTTGTCCACCACTGTGAGGAATCACTGGGAAACTCCCAAAGTGTGCATTTAATCCCCTCCAACTGCAAGATAACAGTTTAGATCAACTTTCTTTGACTGCAATCTCAGCTGAACTTAAAAGGTCTGTATTTGCAGCACACAGATATAGTAATTGATGCCCCACTACCAGACAGACTCCCCAAAAATCACAGAATGATTTTTGAGTAATGAGCTCTAAAATGCTGTCAAACAAGTATCTCTCCAATGCACATGTCTATATTCCAATACTCAAGCCCATACGTGTCCTTTCAAGCTCCAGAAAGTGCAAGGTAGAAGTGCTCTAGTTTAAACCTTGGTAATTCCCCTTTATTATAGACTAAGAGCAGAAACTCAATCCATGAAATCCCTGTTGATACATGGGAACGTGTCTTGTGCTTAACTCCACACATACTTTAATTGCACAATTTCCCTCAGGGCTAATCCCTAAATTAGTTTTGCTTTTTGACACCAATTCCTTGCTATTGCAGCTATTGTGAAAACCATCACTCAAAATTGTGGGGAAATATAAAGTACAGCTTCATTCTAATGTTAGGATTTAAAGTCTCTTAAAACCTAGTTCTGGTATAAAATAAAAAAAAAAGCCCCTATATTTCAAAGAATAACAACAATCTACATTACTCCGGGAAATGTGCGAGTTATTTAGCCTTTGAATTATTGGGCTCGTGCGTGGAAAGGGTGGGGAGGGAAGGGAGGGGAGAAACTGGGTAATAACCAGAGAGCAAGTTCTGCACTACAGGCTTGGAGGGTTTTTAGTAGGGAAAGCAGCATCTCCTCCCTAGTTCCTCAGTATCCCGGCATCCCTGTCTATCCCAGAGGATCTGTCTCCCAGGGGCACAACAGGGGCTTGCATTTCCCTTTTCATTAAATGGTAGTGGATGTGAACTATAAAACCTAAACTCTAGATTTCCCAAGGGACTATGAAACCCTGTGGGGGTGAAGGGCAAAGAAAGAAAGGTAATATTTCAGGAGCGCTCCATTGGGAAAGGCTGAAGAGAGGGAGAAGAGCACTATTTGCTGGAAGCTGAACCCGGAACAGTCATTCCTCTGCTCTGGACACAGAGCTTGTTCAGCTCAGCTCCCCAGCTAATGCTATTTTGTTCCATTTTCCTTCCAAGTGTTTTAATGGTTCTATCTGGGATGGGAAACCAAAACACTCCCTCATGTCAGGAGCCAAAACTGTCAGTAACTTTGTGCAAGTCCAATTCTTGGACAGAAATCCAGACCTTGGGATTTCAGTCCCTAGTGCAGCCAGTTGCTGAGTGCTAGAGCTTTACATTTCTTTAAAGGAGACACACACCAAGTTAATAGGAAACATAAGATCCAGCTCTGCAGACAGGTGCAAACAGACACAGGCTGACTCGGGGCCAGGCAGCTCCGGAGCCGGGCCAGGAATGCCCGTGTCTGTCCATGCTCAGGCACCACAACAGACCTGGACAACAGCACCACATCATGTCCCAGAACTGGCTGAGCTCCCTTGACATCCCCTCTGATCATCAAGGCTGGAGAATGTTAAGCATCCTACACAACTGCGTTGACAACAGCATTATGAAACATACATTCCACACTCTTAAATGTATAAAACCTTTAAAAAACACAAACAGCAAGACCCAAACTAACATTATTCTGAACTTTTGCAGCTCTACTTCAATGTCAGAACACAGAGGAAAAAAGTACAGCGACTTTCTCCAGGTCACAGGAGGAAGCAGTGTCCAGTCAGGCTGGAATTCAAAGCCTGTGGCTCCCTGGACTTCTGTAGGGACTCTCTTCCCTCTCTTTCCTTCACCTTCATTAGAAACATAAACCCTCTAAAGTATTTAACCCCCAACTTATTCCTTGTTTATCTGGAATACTGGAAGTTTCTTTAATATATAATCAAGTTCTGTTGCACAGCTCTGGATTTATCCCCAAAGGAAAAAAAAAAAACAACAACCCCAAACTGATCTCAGCCAGAATTTATCCCAAACCCTAAAGTTCTTTCTGCACCACCTTGAAAAGCTTGCAGCTTTGGAGAGCAGACTATATGAAGGTGGTGCTCAAGCTGGCAAGAGGAAAGGGAAAAAAACTGAAAGAAAATCTATGGATAATCAAAAAGGGGTAAGGATTCAGTTCCAGCTCCCTGACTCCCTACCCAGGCCTTCACCAGAAGGGCAGTTCCCTCAGTCTGGGAGCACAAGTTCCATGTGGAATAACAAAGTGACTTCATGAACCTGTAAAAGTCATCAACAAAGTGAGTTCCACTGAGGGGTAGGGCACAGCCAGCCTTACCCATGCAGCCTTCTTCTTCATCAATAAACATCTTGGATTTCAGCACACGCTTCCGCTTCCTCTTCCTCCCTCCAGCTGACACCTGAAGGGCATGGCAGCATTGTGAGAAACCAAGAGTTAAGGCCCCATCACGTACATAGGTCATAAAAGTGTCAGCTCCAGGTGGGAAATCGGTCTCTCTAATGAAGATGAGCATGATTTGATAACTAATTTTGCCCTTTCCCAGGATATCTTAGTCAAAATACAACCTCAATGAGACAGCAAGCTCTCCTGGTGCCAGCACAGGGAGAACATTTCCTCTGAGACACGAGACGTTTGGAAATGTGTTTGGTTACGTGAGAAGGGATGTCCCATCACACCTCCAAAGAATGAGGAAAGGACAAGGTGTCCAGGACAAACTGCTGAGATTTCATAGAATCCTGGAATGATTTGAGTTGGAAGGGACCTTAAGCATCATCCAGTTCCACCTCCTGCCATGGACAGGGCCACCTTCCACTATCCCAGGTTGCTCCAAGCCCCATCCAACCTGGCATTGGACACTTCCAGAGATGGAGCAGCCACAGCTTCTCTGGGCAATCTGTGTGAGGGCCTCACCACCCTCACAGGGAAGAATTTTTTCATCTATCTAACTCAAATTTCCCCTCTTTCAGTAAAGCTACACCTATTTTCTCAACTCAGAGTTTACCTTCTTGCCAATCTCCCTCATGTAGCAGCTCCCTTACGATAAAAGGTTGAATACCAAGACTGTCTGGTTTAATTTCTGTAAGTTAATCACTCTAATTTGCTCTTACCTCCATGGTTGCAGGCTCCAGTTCAGTTTTCAGAGCAGTTACAGGTGGTGGAGATGGAGCTTTCTCTTCCTCAGGTGTGGGAGGTGGTGGGATATCTGCTAAGAAGAACACCTTGATAGCACACGGGTCTAATGGCCCCCTTCGGCTCCTCTTTTGTCTCAAACAATTCCAAACTCATTCAACCTGTGTTTAGACCAAGGTTTATAATTTCTCACTCGGATTTGTTGAATTCAAATCAGGACACATCACTGGAAGCAGAGAAGGTTTACCCTGTGCTAAGGTGCAACATGCTGCAGTTCCCAAAGAAAAGAGAGTGGGATAGGATGGGAGAAGTGCATTTGGGATTTTTGCCAAGGCAAAACAATCAGTTCCACCAAATGAAGCTTTAAAAACAGGCACAGAAACTGGCTTGTTTAAGCCATACATTTCACTTGCACATTAAAAGAGTGACTGTAATTGTTCAGAAGTCAAGAGAGTCAGGGTGTGGTAAAACAGCTGTTGCTTCACTGGTGGTGCTACACATCCTAAATGATCCAAGAATTAAGAGCAACATACTACTACCCATCCTAAAAGATTGTTAAGGGACATCGAGCTTTTATTTGAAAAAAAAAAAAAAAAAAAGACCCAAAATCACAAAACCCCAAAACAGTACAAAAAATGAAGCCCATTCTCTCTTTGTGCCATCTCCTTGCTCTCCTCTGGGTACAAGGACAGGGACACTGAAATCCACTCAATGCCAGGACTAACTGAACCATTCAAGGACACCTTCACAAGTTTGTATGGAGCAAAAGGCAAATGAGCAAGGCAGGGTAACCCTTCCATGAGGCTTGAAGAGCTCCAAGAGATCCAAGTGAGAAACAGTGTCACGTAAGCTCCCAATGTGTGGCAGAGCTGGGAATGTGGGGGAAGAAACTCCTCATCTGACCTATTGCTTCATCCCAACAAGGATGTGGCTGGCTGGGAGGACAGAGCCTGCTTGGCTCCTGCTCCCAGCCCTGCTGGCTGTGGCACCGCCTCCATCCCGCTGGCCTGACACGGATTCGGGATCCGTAGCTGTCCCAGAAGATTAGGTCAGTGTGAAGAGTTATGGCCCTGCCAGGCACGCGGCCAACTGACCTTCAAGGGTTAAGAAGGGCTCAAGTGAAACAGTGGTTGGCTGCCAAGGCTGAATAACAAATTACATTCTTCAAACAAGGACTCAGCCTCCCAACTACTTCAGTAAGCGAGGCACGGGAAACGCAAATGGAGTGGGATAACATGACTTGGGGTTTCACCTTACTCCAGAGGGCTGGGGCTGGCAAAGATAAAGCCAAACAACAGCTCTGCTCTGAGGTGTAAGTGCTGGGGCGGCCAAGGAGCTGCGGGGAGCTCAAAACTCTCAATATTTTATTTATCACAGTCTCACGGCAACTGCTGAGCACCAAACCTGCTTCATGCACTGCCCAGCCTGGCCATGTCCATTTGAAATGCATTTTTAAGGGAGGACAGGCTAAGAAGGGCTGAAAACCAGCCTCCAGCAGAGGCTGCTAAAGGTATTTTCAGTGTGCCCGCTCCACTATGGGGAGAAATTTCCACCTGGGGGAAATTTGGGCTTCTTTGGGTTTTTTTCCAGCCTTCTTGAAAAAAGTTCCCCCAGCTTTTGGCCAGCAGAAGGTACCTTCTCCCCACGTCAGTGTTTAGGACTATTATCAAGCTCTTTATTACTTTATTATCCTCCTCTAGCCAACACAGCCCTCTGACATGTGATAACTCCTGAGTCAACCTCTCGCTGCTGCCCACAGTTTACTCAACAGGAACAGCTGCATGAAATGGATACAAGTTGGGCAACTGGATGTACCAAAGATGTAAATCCTGGCTTTGTTTGGTTTGCTCTGACCCTGCCTGGAAAAACTGTGAGAAGCTTTAGTGCTTCTGCTGTGGCTCTAAAACCCACAGAGTTTGCAGGTTACAGTGCCACTGAAATCACCCTCCAAAGTGGCTGTAAAACACTTGTCAACACTGCGAAAGCTGCCTGTGTTCATACGGCTGAAGCTGCCAAAACCTCCTGTCCTCTGTGGGCACATTTGTGGAGTTTATTCTGGCACTGGAAGCAAAACAACCTACACTGACTAAGGAACCCTCGTACCAATATAACTTTTTAATGAAAAATCATTTAAATGGAGAGGATTGTGCCTTATGTCCTCTGTACTTGCTACAATGTGCTGACGCTGGTGTAAGAAGAGCTTATTTTGGGCTCCTTTCAGTACACCAAGAGCAGATTAATACAGACCAACGCAAAAGACTTGCCCTGACATAAAAGTGCCCATACAGTGCTTTGCATCAGCTGTATGGGCTGAGCCTCAAACCCACAATACCTTCCTAAGTCTGCCTGAAAACAGGGGCCGTGGTTTTCATAGAATCAGTCATAGAATGACAGATTGGTTTGGGTTGGAAGGGACCATAAAGCTCATCTCATCCCACCCCCTGCCATGGACAGGGACACCTTCCACTAGACCATGTTGCTCCAAGCCCCATCCAACCTGGCCTTGGACACTTCCAGGGATGGGGCAGTCACAGCTTCTCTGGGCAACATGTGCCAGGGCCTCACCACCCTCACAGGGAAGAATTTTTCCCAGTATTCCATCTAATCCTGCCCTCTGGCAGTTTGAAGCCATCCCCCTTGTCCTGTCACTCAAGGACCCTTTAAAGTCTCTCTCTATCTTTCTTGCAGGCCCCTTTCAGGTCCTGGAAGGTTGTAATTATGTATATGTATATTGTTATTTTTTAAATGATTTGTTTCATCCAACTCACATTCTTCTACTTGAATACTGAATGTAATATTACCAGTTTGGATTCATTATGAATATTCCAAAAAATTCCAATCTACCTTCTTTCATCCAGTTGGATTTAGAAGGGCAAGCAGCAGGACCAAAGGGCTGAGCTCTCCCAGTTCTCACTTTCCCTTTTGAAAGGGGCAATCTGAGGGATATCCAAATTTGTATACATCTGTTGTAATTTGCATACATTAACAATTCTAATGTACAACACAAAGAAATAAAGAGGAGGAGCAACAGCAGTGACAAAAAATACTTCTCCAGTGCCTGACCAGCCTCTGGGAGAAGAACCTTTTCCTGATATTCAACCTAACCCTCTCCTGACACAGCTCCAGCCATTCCCTCAGGTCCTGTCACTGGTCACAGAGAGAATAAACAAAAACCATGGAATAAATGAGACCCCACATACAAAAGCATTAACTGTTCAGCACATGTTATGGTCCCACAGGTATTCTACAGAAGACCAGAGAGCTCTAATATTCCAGAATCCTGCCTGTTCCCACTCACACTCTCTCACTGAGAGATTCCAGCCCAGCATGGACAGGCTGATTTCAGTGTTCCCTCTTCAGAGCTAAACAACGCAGTAGGTGAGTGATGAGGAAATGGAATGGCAAACCTTTAAAGAAATAAATACCAGTGTGTGGACATGTATGTATTTTTTTTACAGCCAAACAAGAAGCTCCACACAGGAATTTGATGAAGTTAAGGCTGATCATGAAGAATAACTTCCTGAGAGATTTATCATCCTGTGGAATAGTCTAAGGAGAGGTGATGACAAAGTTCACTTGAAATTATGCTGGGTAGAAGAGACAAAAACAGGCCTAAAGGTGGCATGGAGACTGCAGAGATATCCAACAGAAGCCTCCTCTCTCACATGTATTGCAGATTCTCCTGATTTCCCAGTTGTTTCCAATGTGGCAGCCACACTAAATGAGGAAACGGCACCAGCTCTCCTGCTGGACTCCCCTTCCTCACCAATACAACCCATTTGTTGTTTCATTTTATTTTACTGGAGCTCTACACCAAACTGGTGGTTTCAATTATTCGCCCATAATGATCCCCAAATTCTTTCCCTGATCAGCTCGTTGGATGCCAGTTCCATCTCGCACATACTCCAGAGCTCAATCCCCACTTATTTTCCAGTTATCTGTATTGAATGGCATTTGACGCCTCAATTATCCACATTCTTTGGAATCCAGCCCTGCTGTTCCTTACTGTAAGCCCAAATCTTGAGATGTTCTGGGCACCCAACTCCTGTCAAAGCCAACAGCTACTGAGGAGACGCCAAGTCGCATCAGATACAGCTCAACTGCTTTGCCTCCAGTTTCCCTATTATCTGGGTTTTGGGGTTTTTTTTTTGAAGTCTTGCTTCCAACACTGTCTTCCAAACCATTTCTATAAACAGACAGAATAAAGATACTAAGACTGACCCTGGGAGGAGGGGAAGGTCACTTTGTGAGTGTTTAAGGTCATTTTGTGAGTGTTTACTCACCAAACAAACTGGTTATGACCAGTCCTGTGATTTTGGAAGGTGTCATATCTTTCACAAGAGATTTGGGAACCTCTTTCTCACACGTCCATGTGACTGAAAGCACACTTGGGGAGAAGACAGCCAGGTCTGAGCTAAGCTAAAACAAAGACTGAGGTATCTCAACTCTGTGGCCAAGTGCTTGCACAGCACAAAGATAAACAGAGAGCTCAACCTAAAGCCATTTCCATGGTCTTTAGTCCTCTAAACTATTCCCTCAATCATTGACCAGCAGTCTTGGATAGTCATGTTGTGGAAATCAGGCCCCTGACCTACATGACTGGTTTGTTTACAGATCTTTTTACCTTCCTCATCACTGCTGTCAGACTGAAGTTGTTTGATTCGCTTCCTCTTTCTCTTTGCGTTCTCGGGATCTCTTTCCTCCTCGTTATCTGACCTGTCCACATGCTTCGTTTTACTGCCACAAAAAAGGGAAAAAAAGGGAAGGAACACCTGTTATCTCTTATGTGTGCATAAAAGCATCATGTGTGTTTGGATAAGCACGTTCCTTATGGAAGGAACTCAAATACCTCTGTACCTCCTAAAAACATGAGGTGAACTATACACTCCCCTACGCAATCAGGAATAGGTGCACCAGCATTTCCAAGCCTCTCATCCTAACCCATATCCAGCTCTCCAAAACAAGGAAGGTTTATTTAGCCCCTCTGCAGTTCAGCCCAGTACCTCACCTCGCTTGGCCACGGCAACAGCCTATTTCTGATCTTGTCTCTTTAGCTCAGGCTCCCAATGTCCCCAAAAGCATCACTCAGAAGCTCTTTTGACAGACTGCTTGCCACTGACTGACTATGAGGTAGTGTCTCAGAATCCTGGAGCCATTTTTAAAGACTACTGGAAAAATAAAATAGCTTCTTTCTTTTTAATGTTGGCGAGACACGTCAGACCAACAAGCCTGGAGGCTACAGGCCCACGTATCCTCAAAGAGCTGGGACAGCCCCAGTGGCTTTCCCAAATCCATGCTGCCAACACCTCCAGGCCCTTGGCTTTTTGCACAAGACTATCAATAAGACAAGCAGTTAGTGCTCAGTGTGATGGTGGGCTGGGTGGTGTGCTTACCTATTTAGTAAGAAATGGATTGAGACCACCAATTAATTACTCATAGGCCACCAGAGAGCCATCAGACTTAGTGATTCCTTGTCTCTTCAGTTTGGGTTGGATTACACACAAAAGGCTGAACTTAAAATTTACCTGGAGCCTCAGCCCAAAGTAAACCAGGGGCACTGAAAGCAGCAGTGCATTAGCTATGGGAACCAACAAGCAGAACTTTGTGTGCTGGAAGCTGTGTACATATAAGCTTGGGAATATACCACCTTCCCTGCAGGACAGGTGCTCCTGCCAGTCCTCAGGTCTATCCTAAGTCTGCTCACAGTGTGAGGTTGTCTCATGGAAAGCCACCCCCTTCCACTGAAGACAACCTGGACTGTGTCTCTTCCCATATGTAATTGCCCTGAGGCACCTACAGCACTAAAGGAAAAGAAACACCAGGAAGGAGTTCTCAGAGAGATAATTTTAGCCAGGGTTAATGCAATTTAGTAGCTGGAAACAGGAGGTGAGCCAACATCGTATGACCAGACAGCTCCACGCAGACCACCAACAACCAGGTTCCCAAGTGACAGGGACCCTCAAAGGTACAACCTACCTTTTTCTGTCCTTTTGTTGAATTCTAGCAGACTCTGTTCTCTTCCCAGGTTTCTCTACTACAGGATTAGGGGATGACTCTGGTTCTGCTACAGCAACTGAAGGCTTGACTACTTCTTTCTCCTCCTTTGGCTGCTCAGGCACAGGGTTGACTTTGAGTTTATCTGTGAATAAACCATTCAAAAAGAACAAACACTGAGCATTCAGTATGAATGAAACTTAGAGAGGAGCTGGTTGGCTCTGTGCATCAAGAATACAGAAAACACTCCAGATGATGTATTTAGGGATCTAGATTGCATTGGGGATTTAGCAATCCCTAATTTAGATTAAGGATCTAGATTGGCCAAGATGTGTCATACATGGAAAAAAAGGGCATGATTAAATTTCCACCTGATTTCCCATGGTTCTGCTGTTCCTGATGCTAAGCCACTGGTACTGCAGCAGTGAAAACTGTGGAAGAGGGTTGGGAAGCAGTGGCAGAAGCCCTTATAGTCCCCAGGTGCCAAGGCACTGCAGAAGGATTGGGAGCCCCTCTTCTAGACACCCCTTTGACACAACACTACATCTGTTTTCAGACTCAGTTTATCCCTTCTGAATTTGACTTATAGTTAAGCACAAACATGGCCAGAAACAGGAGAATTAGGACTGATGAAGAGAACAAGAGGTGTGTGCAGTCTCCTTGCATAACATTTCAACCCATGACTAGTATTTTCAGCAGCTTGTTGTTCCACCCCAATACCAACATGATCAACAATCTCAGAACGGTTTGGGTTGGAAGGGACCTTAAAGATCCTCTTGGCAGAGAGGTTGGAATCAGCCTCTTTTGCCTATGCAGCATCACATATAAGGACAATTCTGCTTCAAAAGGCTTCACTTAGTACCAGAGAAGAGATAGCAGATGGGAGCAGACAACAAAATAATATATTTATCAATATAACCACCTAAATACAGTCTGTGAGCTTCATCCAGCAGCTTTCCACACCTCCACAAGAGAGGAGCAGGTGAGATAGAAACCTGTGTTACCCCAAGCATGAAATGCCCAAGAAAAGAGAAAATATTGAGCAGTGAGATCAACTGGATCATCAGCAGGGTCAGAGGCTGCCGGGAGGGTGATGACTCCATGCCAAAGCCTTTCTGGCAGTGCTTGGAAAACACTTGCTGCTTCCTGGAGCAAGGGCAAACATCTCCTACACCAGCACTTGAATGACAGCTCTTGTCTATGATCAACAGCAGAAAGCCCAAGGACCCTATCACTGGTAATTCACGACTTTCTGGCAATGGTGGAATCTTTGAAGCCAGGAGAGACGTACATGTAGGGAATAAATCTTCCTCCTGGAATCCCCCTCTCTCTTCTATGCACATAATCATTTCCAGTTCTGCTTGGTTTGCTCCTTCCCTGTTCCCACCTCAATCTTTCCTTGATGTGCTCCAGGACAGGACTCAGCAGAGAAGGGAAACCCTTTGGAAATTGTGGAAATGCATGCAAGAAGAATTCCCCATCCTCAGTGGGGTTACTTTTACCATGCCATTCCAACTGATTGGGTTTTCAACACATGAACTTTGGTCTAGGGCTCTTCTCAGACCTTCAGAATTTACTCTGGTTAATTGTGGTGACTGTCCTCAGGCTGAGCGTCCTCAACTCCCTCAGGCTCACCAAAACAGGGACTCAAAGATTCCCAACAGGGCTGTGCCTTGTGTGCTCAGTGCTGGAACTGTCACCTGCAAACTCTGTCAGATGCCTTTTAGAAAGTGAACTTTGTTGTTTACTCTCTTCCAAAATTCTTCTTTGAAGCCTCCTGTACTCACTGTTGTAAGGGAATCTTTGAAGGAGGTCCTACAGTCCTTTTCCAACATCTATTTAAAATCTTCAGCATATTTTCTTTAGAATTGGATAATTCGGAAGGGATCTCCAGAGGCCACCTAGTCCAAAGCTCAGCTCAAAGGGAAGGCCACCCTTCATTTTTACTCTCCAGTTGTTAGTCCTTTAGTTTTTTGGAAAAAAATTAAAAAACTAACTATGGACTCCTCAGCACTGTGTGATGAAAAGCAAGCACTATTAACATGCCCTGCAAAACAGGTTTTGGCAAATATCTCCCCAATAGCTGATCTTCCAGCCAGGAGTACTCACTTTAAATCAGATTTCTTCTGCACTAAAAAATCCTTCCTGGGTTAGTCTGCACAAATATGTCATTTTAATTGATCTCCCTCCAGCAAGCTTTTTGTCTGAAAAACTCTACTGAAAAGTCTTAATTTTTGCCTTAAGAGTTGCATGCCAAAACATTAACCCCTCTAAGGCCAAAAGAGCAAAACAGTATGGAAGAGTATTGGGATAGAGGGAATATAAAAAAAATCCAATGAGTCTGGTAGTGTGGGGATCGGAAGGAAGAGTTCTGCTCTTTTCTATATGTCTCCCATTACAGCTCTTTAACAAAACACTTGATTACACTGAATATTTTTTAATTGCTACCCAGATTAAATAATATATATATATATTTAAAAAAAAAGAGATAAAGAGATTTCCCAGAACCCTCAGGTTTGGGTTTGTTTGTTTTCTTTTTTTTTTTTACTACACCAGGCTGTTCCCTGACCACCTCTGAAAACAGAAAAGCACTTACTCATAGCAGCTTTCCCAAAGAAGTTGTTGATGATGTTGTTTTTTGTTGGTGGTTTGCTGCTAGCTGTGGAGACCTAGGAGCAAACAGAGGAGTAACCACAGGAATTGTTCACAGCCCTCAAATGCACAGAACTGCTTCTGGACAAGCAAAATAAATAGGTATGATTTGTTCACCACTGCCTTTAGCATTTAGGAGAATTTGAAGATACTTACTAGATACTACAGGCATCAAAGGGGTGAGAGTAAGTTACTAAGGACTCCTTAGCCAGGCCTTCAAATCTGACTTGGGGCACATTCCCATCTGATGGTGTTGCTGAAATAAGTGCTTGGGACTTGGGTCAGTTCCCAGGAAAGAACTGCTCTTTTTGCAAACTATCAGTGCCTCAACTCACAGCAACAGAGGAAAGAACATAGATTGACCACACCAGGAAGGTTTTATCCAGCTCCTCTGGCACGTAGGCTGTTTGCAGAGGAATATCACTGCTCTCTTCCACCAGTACAGCCACCATCCAAGTAAAAAAATCACACACACACACAGACCCAGGAAGTGTGGCCTCCTAACCCCATTAATTCCCATGCAAATAAAAGGCAACCAAACACTAAAGTTCCCAAAACACGCACATTTCACCAGTTCTAAATTCAATATAAAAATCAGAAAAAGGAACCAAAATGTACTCAGCTGTTATAAAAAACCCAAACCATACACAGGGAACGTTACCATTTAAACACTCATTTTTCTGGCCAAATAGCTTTAAAAACAATTCTACTAATTAAAATTAAAACGTAATCCTATCCTGGAAAAACAGCAGTGGAGAAGATAAACAATTTAGTCTTGCACAGGTCAAGTTCTGAGACTTCCCTCGCAGCCTAAGTTTAAACACCTTGATACTTTTAAGACCTGAGCTTCTCACATTTCACTTATTGCTCAAAACAAATCCTTTTAAGCACAATGGGGAGAGCAAGATCCTCAACTGGTGTATATATTGGGATAGCTGGAGACAACGGAACAATTGTCTCCATAAGGCAGCTATGCTGGTTTATACTCACCGGAGACTCGGCTCAAGGAGGAATGTCAAAATTATTGCAAATACACTTTTGTGGAGAGATCAAGAGTGTGGCACGAGGTATTTTTGCCCAAGATGACTGCACATAGTTAAACGCTTTCAGAGGGTCACTGAGCATTCCCAGTGGGATGTGAGTTTAGCAGGAGGAGCAGCACTAGGTGGTTGAGGTTACTGAGGTGGTGTAAAAGCGGTTAATTAAAGCCATTAACCCAGGGGGGTCTGAGGTAACTTACACCTGAGGCCTCTGCTTTGGTCTCCTTATTTGTGTCCTGGGGTTTGGAAGCGGCTTTGGCTGCAAACATTCCCATGATCCCTTTGTGCTGCTGCGAGGGGTGTTTGGCAGCCGGCGGCCCGTGGCCATTGACTGCAGGAGCGCTGGGAGCACCAGTGTCATTTTCCCTCTGGGAACTGCCCTGCAGGGACGTCTGTGCTCTGGGAATGTCAGGCGGCATCCTGGGGACTGCGGCGTCACAGTGGATGGCACTGAACCTGGGTGATGGAGGGAAAATTCAATTAGCCTTTTCAACTCCTGAGTTTTCAGCTCGTTTTTACCCTGTTTCTCCGGTCCTGCATTTTCCTGTTACGGAAAAAAGAGCAGTTTAATCTGTGTATGGGACAAGAAAGAAAGGCTTGCACAGAACAAGAGACCTCTGATGAAAAGATCAGCTGGACCTGTCAGCAAGAGGCAAGAGCATTCCCATGCTAAACAAGTTGTTCAGCTTTCCTGGGGGGAAAAGAGCCTTCTCCATACCCAGGGTGGAGAGAGAGCAGGCTGCATTTTATTCCTAAATGGGTTAGAGTTTGTGGCATAAGTTGTATGGCTGTGTGAGGATCTGAAACATTTACAGCCTTCAGATGCTCTGACAGAGGCCACAAGGGTTGCAACTTCCCAGGTAAGTAAAACACAACTGAAACTGAAGGAAGCACAGAAGATATTCCAACTTAACTATATAAAGTCATTTCCATGTAATCCCCGGTAGACAGAGGTGCAACTCAGCTTACAATACTTGATTGTTTGGGGATATGGAGATACAAGAACCAAATGACATGCCTGCAGTTACAGCACAACTCACTGACAGTCAGGAATAGCAGTTCCCAAAAATAACTGAACTCTGCTCCCCACTGTGCAAATCACAGGCGACGCTTTCCAGATTTCCCACAGAAATGCCACAAAAGAGCCCAGGCTCACGCCTCCCAACCCACTGAATTACACAGCAGATTTCTATTTGCATAAGTAACAAACCAGTTCATTTCTGTGCCTCAGCACTGGCCGCTCACGTGCACAGGCCACTTCACTCAGATCAGAGTCTGTAATGCATTAACAAAACAACACCATCTCTACGGCGTTCCCAGGCTGCAGCAGCAACCTCTTGACATTCAAACCTTTAAAGGAACGAAAAGAGACATTGAAGGAAAATATTCCTGCTCTCCTTTATACTTTTAACATGGTTAATACGACTCTCAAGTCAGCTTGTGCTCCAAATCTAAACACCATCAATCCTCCAGATTACAAATAATATTGTCACCAACCTTCTAGGTTACAAATAATATTGTCAATAATATTGACTGTGCAGCAGAGCTCAGCTAAACTTCCCATATTCCAAATCAGCTTGCCTTGATGCTGCTATGTGACTACAGCTTATGGGCTTGCCTCAGAATTCACTAGAAAATCACTGAAAATATAAGCAATTCTTGAACTATGCTCTGCCAACAAGGAGCTGCTTCCAGCTGATGATGGCAACAGGCACTAAATCCAGTTACTGATATCAATTAGTACATCTAGTTACCTCCAATATCCCCACAGCACAGGAGGTCCTATAGAAACACAGAAGGGAATAAAGATCCTTCTTCTAGAGCTGTGAGATATTTGGACTCACAGGGAGCCTCTGTTTGCTACAAACCTGACATAAAAACCCCTGGATTTTGCAGGTCCTGCAGGAATCTTTTCCCAAGTGCCAAAGACAATCCAAATAGTTGACAAGGGAGACAGAACATTGTCAGGCTGAATTTAGTTCAGCTAGGTCACAAATGAAGAAGTTGAATTTTTCTTAAGTTTGCTTAGGAAATTCTACTCCAAAGCCAGACAGGGCTTTACACCCAGGCTTTGGAAAGCTGTTTCAGAATCTAAATTATCTAAACCTTCTGGATGTACAAATCCCACAGGCAGACTCCTCCAAGGCACAAATATCACCAAACTGGGGTGTCTGAGAATAAACAGAGTGGAACAAGGCAAGTGCAGCCAAATCTATGGCATGTGGCTCCATTGACAGGGGGGTTTCCAGCACCTTCCAGGTCATTGCCTCTTGTGTCAAACAGCTTCTAGGACAATATTTTCTCAGCCACTCTCTTGTCAACACATTGCAGACAGCTATGTTTGTCCTTTCAAATTCTATACTCTTCCTATGACACAGCATTCAGGCATCCCCCTTTTAAACCAGATTGGTCACGGCACTGTACATCCCCATGACTTCAAGCTGAAGCTGTCATGGTGGGGAACAAGATATAAATGAAAAGTCACAGCTGCCAGGCACTGCTCAGGAGGGGAGACAGTGACTCCTGGAGACTGCAGTCCCTCCCAGTTCTTCTCCAGTTCAGCCACCAAGGACACTTGTGCTGCCTGGGCTGTTTTGTGTGCTCCTCCTAAGCATCAGACTCTCAGAGACCACAGAATATTCTGGGCTGGAAGGGACCCACAGGGATCAAAGCCCAACTCCTGGGGAATGAGTTCCTGTAAGATATCTTCGGAGAGGTGGATGAAAACACAGTCTCACAAAAGAGAAAGCAAACTCATGTTTGCTGAGCACATCACTCATGGTTTTCTAAGTCTGTTTCAATTTACAATGTGTGACTGAGAACTGGATTAAAATAGTCATGATTAAGTGTGACCTGGAAATGAGAAAGAAGTTTCTAGCCATCAGAGAAGAAAGGTACTGGAACAGTAACCAGCAAGTGAACCAAGTGTAACCTGGAAATAGCTCAGTTTACAAAACAGTCACATGATGTGCTGTTTGGTGACTGGTCTGGCATGATTTGGAGGATATCTTTTTCTAGCTTTCTAAAAGTCCAGATCTATCTGGTAAGCACTGACTGAAAAGCAACACCAGTTCAGAATCACAGGGTTTAAGAAGAAAAAGCAAGATGGGACTCACTTGCTGCAGTTGTGGAGGTTTGTTTTGACAATGTCATAGTCAGTGTTGTAGAGTGGGGAGCTGTCCTTGAGCAAGGCCTTCTGAATGCTGTACACATGCACACTCGCAATTGTGGACAGCTTAGACTTCATTGCTGGGGGGAAAAGAGAGAAAAAAAGTCCTCTATTAGTATATAGGATGGAGTAAGACTGACAGATTTTCTGAATATAAAAAGGTCTAACTGAACCTCCTCCCAACACTCACTAATCAAGAATTCAAGGCAACAGACTCCACAAGCCTGTCACGTTTTCCACTAATGCACTCTTGGTTCTTGCACAACTGAATTAAGAGTGATCTCTGTGTCTACCTTCAAAACATCCATTGTTTGGGATCCAGAATATCTGTGTGAGTACCTAAAGCTAAGGAGGAATGCAGATGGTCACAGCTCTGCTGGAATTGTGCCATTAGTGCAGTGTCACAGTGTCATCCCTAGTAGAGTGCTGGAATCAAAATTTTATTTCTTTTATGCTACTCAGACTGTAACCCCCTTGAGACAAGGGCTGTTTTTCAGGAATTCTTTGTTCACTGCTTATATTGTTCTTTCCACACAGTCCTGGTCTGAGGCTGAGCTTCGAGGCACTGTAAAAATACACACAGTAATCATTTCTTGGGGCTGGTCCTGGACTGTGCAGCTCCTTCAAAAATCCCAGCCTTTTCCAAATACAAGTCATACCTTTGGCCTGCCTTCCAATAAAAAAATCCATGAGCAACCCTTTCCTCCACAGCAAAAGAGGGTGTTACAGAGCACAGATAACTCAACAAACATGACAGGTAGTTGCACTGTTTGACAATCTCCTACCCTTCAGCTTTAGCTAGAAATCCACTTCAGATTTCCAGAAGGAAAATAACTCATCTTTCAAACAAGGTGAGGTCATTAGCATGGATATTTAGGGTCACAAATGCCACAGTGTATCCTCAAATGACAAAAATGTTATCTGAAAGCAATGAAGGGCCTGAAGTTGTCTTTCAATTGCTATGGGTAAAGTTTCATCAGCAGGACCAGACCCGGAAAGATGGTGAGACAACTGACAGGACATGGAACAGTGTTACAATGCTGGTATTTTTTCAACTTTTACTGTGAAAGTAAATACAAAAGTGAGGTAAATGTCCCATGAGAACATTCTAAAAACCACAGCACTCGGGGCAAAGACTGCAATTGCATTGAACCAATAACCAGAATTAGCATTCTTGAGGGCCTGAAGACTCACAATTGTTCCGAGACACTACCTGGGTATTGTTGTCTTTAAGGACAGTCAGAGGAAAAGAATCACTGACAAAATGTTCAGCATCTAATAAAAAAAAAATTGCAAGACCAAATCATAAGCCTGAAGGTACTCAGCTGTTGGCTCAGATGCTCCAAGTTCCGAGAAAAAGCTGGTACAAAAGGTACACACCTGACCCCAAGAGCCTGGCTGGGCACTGATGTGCAGATGGCAAGTTCTGAGCTTTGCTCGTTCTGCTGTTCTTGCAAAGAAAGAAATTAAAATCCACGTAATTTTCACGGTTTTCTTACCTTCCAGTTTATCCTCCCTCACTACTGCAACCTTGTGGCACTGGAAAAAATAAACACACGGCAATCTTAAAATTTCAAAAGATCTGTTGTGTGCAAGACTAATATTTTCAGTTATAAGGAAGTCTAATGATTATTTGTGCAGCTTCATAGCTGCAAAGAACACTGCCTTTAAAAACTCATCAGCCACTAGTTTTTAAAGCTCTGTCATCCCACTTTTCAGTTTTACAGATCACCAGATCCCTAAGAAAGGCTTTGTACTCCATTCATGACACTGGGAGATGAGACACAGATGAAACCAAACCTAAACAACTGTGCAGCAGAAGAAAAGCAAATTAAGAACAGCTAGAAACCTGCCTCACCAGCCCACATCACACCTGGATATTTAGATTGCCAGGACACTTCAATCCAGCAATCGGTAGCCCAGACACGGCACCAGAGAAGCCAAACAACATGAAAAATTAAGCATTAATTTTATTAAATTTATATCTAACCTAACCTAAATATATAACCTAAATTTAATTAAAAAGCCAGGAAGGAATGTTTCTGAAATGGACAGTCTTCAAGGTCTATACCTGCTCCAGGACATTTACCAGACTGTGGTTAATACAGAAAGGATCCAGACTGGGGAAAACCCAACCACCATTAATTGTGTTTAACAGATACCACAAACCTGCTTGAAGTCAGGGAAAAACCTGTTAAACTCAGGCTATCAACATGATACCAACCTGTGCAGCTTTAAATTAATATATCCCATTAGACAGAATTAATGCACTAAAAAATTACCACAGTCTTCTTTTAGGAATGGTGAATCTCAGGGTGCCTTGACTTGGAAAGCAACACCAACAAACCTTTTCTTTTTTGTTCTTCTAAATAATAAATCGCTTCACATGCACAAAATATTGCCTTTAAATGTCCAAATCTGCCTGAAATGGAAGGTTATTATTTATTGTACTAGTTCTGTATGATGGAATATATTTATTTAAAGCTGCACAAGTAGTGTCACATTGACAGCCCGAGTTCAACAGGTTTTTCCCTGATTTCTTTCAGAAATAACAAGTCTCTCAGCTTACTAGAGTTGGAAGTCAGGCAGGAAGACCTGCCTGAAGTTTTAGATGACACTCCTGAAAATCTGACAAGAAGTAACAAGAAAAAATAAATCCACTAAGCAGCAATTCCTTTGCTTAATAAGACAAAGCACTTTAAATACAAAATACTGTTAATAAATTTATGTTTCTTTTTTAAATCAGTAAGAAGAAGTTGCTTTAATTAGTCAGCAAAAGAGTAAGTAAATAAAGATGGGGAGTCTTGGCCCCTCACTGTGGCAAATAAAAACCAGCAAGGAAAGGGTGTGCAGTGTTTAATGGGAATTATTTGTGAAGGAATTGTATCCCTCTCTCCCTTCAGGAATCCTGCAGCTGAATCCACAGCATTCCAGCTACACCTACTGCCAGCAGGCAGTAGTGCAGGGATACCAGCAGGCACAGGGATGCACCTGGAGCTTCCACAGCCCTTTCCTACCCAAAATTGACTCAGATTGAGGAGCTCTGAACTCTTGCTGTGGATTATTCCTAATCCTGGCATTGCTTCACCTCTGCCCCCAACACCTTCCTGCACCTGCAGCTCACCCTTCTTAACAGGCACTGACACTGCAGCATTCAAAAATAAGAGATTTAAAAACAAGGAGGGGGGAAGTGACCTTTATATGTTTATGGATCCAGTGGAAGATTCCCTGCCCAAGGCACGGGGTTGGAATTAGATCATCTTTAAAGTCCCTCACAACCCAAACCATCCAGTAATCCTATGAACTTGTTTAACAAATACACAAGCTGCTAAGACAGAGTTAAAAATAATTATTTGTTGCTATGTCAGAAGTCACTTGTTTGTTTTAAATACATTTTGGCAAATTTAAATATAATAGTACAGGTTGACAACTCACTAGCCAGTTCTAGTGAGCCAAGAGACTTGTTATTTCCAAAAGAAATCAGGGAAAAACCTGTTAAACTCAGGCTATAAATGTCACATTATGTGTGCAGCTTTAAATAAATATATTCCATCATACAGAATTAATGCAATAAATAACTACCTTCCATTTCAGGCAGATTTGGGCATTTAAAGGCAATATTTTGTGCATGTGAACCAGTTTATTATTTAGGAGAAGAAAAAAAGGTTTGTTGAGGTTTTTTCCAATTTACAAATAGAAATCCTGAGATATCCTATTCCTAAAAGACGACTGTGGATCATACTGTAATAGATACTTGTGTATTTAAAAACACTTAGTGGGATGTCAAAGGCATTTTGTGCTTGGCTCTTAAACTCTTCTATGAGCAAAGGGAAACAGGCACCAAATTTCCTCATCTTCTTTTAAAAACTTCTGGGGTACCGGTCTCAAGTTTTGGATGACATTCCAGAAAAATCTCACAAGGAGCAATATGGAAAGAAATAAACACATTAAGCAGGAATTTCTTTCTTAATAATTTTTAAACTATCAAATACTGTTAATACATTTATGTTTCTCTTTCTTCTTTACCAGGATTAAAAAGCTGCTTTAATTAACAAGATAACTTCAGCTATTCATTTGTTGTTCTGTTTGTTATTATTCCATTCCAAATGAGTTCCAAGCTCTCTCTACACTTCCACCCCACAGCAGATGCCAGGAAATGGATGAGTTGATCTCAGAAGGGTCCTTCCAGAAGGTTTTATAATCTTTGCTGCCCAATAAGAGTGATGAGAGAGATGACTGGTAACAGGATTTGAGTTAATTAATTAAGAACCCTGGTGCATTATTCAGCACTGTATTCCCAAGCCATGGCCAACTGATTCTTCCTCCACATCATCTGCACACTGGGACAGACATTGTGCCTTATTTTGTACCTGTCCAGGAGACCTGTCTGGAAGTGTCTTACTGGAAAAAGAGGAAGTTCAGCTTTTAACCCAAAGATCACAAAACAAGGTGGAAGAGACACAAGAACAAAGAGCTCACAGACACTTTAGAGAAGTGAAACGCTCACCATGTGTCCATTCTGAAGGAGGTTTCCTGCTACTAAGTAGGTGACATGAAGCTGAGCTCCTGAGTTCTCCTTCCGTTTCCTCTCCACATAATCATACAGCATCCTGCACAAAGAAACCACTGTTAATCACCCAGAAAGGAAAGAGCCTGTAGCCACCACTTCCATGCAGGTTACATAAAAAAAAAAAAAAGAGTAAGGCCACCCTGACATGGAAACTTTTCACATTTATTAACAAGCACAGTTATTTTACCCAGGATTAAATTAATCTTCCTGAGTCACCTTCCTCCTCGGCCACTTCAGAGAATCTCAGTCCAACAACTATAGAAAGTATTTAGTAGCTGGTTGCAGATGGTCTCATATCCTCTAGGTAGCCTGTCCCAAAATCTCCCCCTCCAGAAAGGCATTTCTGAAACCCCTGACTGAGGAACTGGTGACTTTTTGGTCCGTAATCACATGGCCAGGTGTGTATGTACAATCCCAGTTACATCCATGGATGGGGTGATCAGGAGCAGCAGGGAAGAGTGTGATTAGGGAGGACTGAGCTGAGCCTCAAGATATCAGCTCCCACTCACACCACTGCTCCCATGTACCTGGGCAGAGACACTCCATAGGGACACTGCCTGGGAAAAATACTGGAAGATCATTACCACTACAGAGACAGACTGCAAAGACCACACTGTCACATCCAGCACAACCCCTAGAATAATTCCCTTGTGTCACCAGGCACTTGCCAGCTTCTAGGAGAGACTTGTAAGCACAAAAAAGCCACAGGAATTCTTCATCCCCAGGTTGCCTCTGCTTCACCACGGCCACCTTCTTCCCAGCAAGGAGTTCTAATTTAGTCTATGACAAGAATTGTTCCTAGCAGGACTCTCCAGTCGGGTCTGATGCCCACTCAGATTTACACACTACCTAAATTGCTCACACACATGCAGAGGAAAGAGACCAAACACTCTCTTCCATTCCATGAGATGCCTGAGTTGATGTTCCAGTGGTTTGGGCAGGACAGAGCACAGCAAATGCTTCTTTAGGTCTGGGCGGTAGCCAGAGAAAAGGAGAGAAAATATTTGTATTATGGGGCTTGGCACTCTTAGGCAGCCTTCAAATTTTATAATCCACTTTCCCTTGCATTGTGGGAACAGCTCTGGAATCCCTGAGAGCTCATTCTTTGCTTTATAGGCCATTCAAGAGGTTACAGTCATTCTAGTTCTCCATCTTCCCACACTTCCCACATTTACCTACGCCCACAAACCCTGGTAGAGAGCCAGGCTCGTGGAACAACACCACTGACTGTGCCTGAGAAGGATTTTTAATATTTCCAGAGAGATCATTTTAATATGCTCACCACATTAATTAAAACAGGAATTAAAAGCAATTAACAAGGCTTCAGGGGATGTAGCAACACCTACTGTTTAGCCTGATTGACATGGACTCCCAGAGTGTAGCTCAGCCATTTATATGTCACCTGTAACAAGAAAAAAAACCACAGCAAAACTCTTCAATATGAAAACCTCAGCCTCTCAATTGCTTAAATCCCCTGTGTCAGACAAAATGCACCAACTTTGCTGCACCAGTATCTAGGCAAAACGCCATTTTAAAATTTTTTATTTATTTATTTCAAAATAATTTTTGAAATAAATTTTGGAAGGAATGCACCCGTGCACAAGCCTATCATTTTTCTGAACTGTCCTAAAAACAGGTAAGGAAGGGGGCAAGAGGAGAAAGAAGGAAATGGGGGAGAGGAGGAAGGAAGGGAAGGAGGAAGAGGGGGAAAGGAGGAGGAAGGAAGGGAAAAGGAGAAGGAAGAAAGGGGAGAGAGAAAGGGGAAAAAAGGAAGAAAAAAGTGGGAAGGAAGAGAAGGAAGGGGAAGAGAGGGAAAGGGGGAAGAGGAGGAAGGAAGGAAGAAGAAGGAAAGGGAGAGACGGAAGAGAGGAAGAAGGAGGAGGAAGAGGGGAAGAGAAGTAAAAGGGGGGGAGAGATGGCAAAGCGGGGAGAGGATGAAGGAAGGGGGAAAGAGAAGGAAAGGGGGACAGAGAAGGAATCCCCTGACTGCCCCCGCCGCCGGAACTCACGACGCGGTTCTGGTCGGTGACGAACTCGTCGATGTTCTCCAGGTACAGCTCGTCCGCCATGGCGGGGCCGGGCCGCGCCTTCCCGCGCACCTCAGCACGCACGCGCCCGCCCGCCGCCGCCATGGCAACGGCACCGGGCCGACGGCGGCCGAGAGGGACAGCTCAGGCCCGGGAGAGCGGCGGGGACAAGAGACGGGGCGGGGACCGGACGCGGCGCGGCACTAAGACCACGCGGGCACAGGGAGCGGGGCGGCACTAGGACCGTGCACGGCGCGAGGACGGGGCGGGCGGACGGGCCATAGGACCGCGCGGTCCCTGTGCCCGCCCGCTGCCTGTCCTCTCCTACGGGGACACGGCCCCCACGGGCTTTGTCAGCCCTCTCCCCGAGATCACAGAATCCCGGAATAGTCAGGGATGGAAGGAACCTCTGGAGATCACCCGGTGCAACCCCGCTGCCAAGGCAGGGTCACCCAGGTGACACAGGGACGCTTCCAGCTGGGTTCGGAATGTCTCCAGAGAGGGAGACTCCGCAACCTCCCTGGGCAGCTGTGGCACTTAGGGACATGGTTTAGTGGTAGGCTTAACACTATTAGGTCTACGGTCAGACACAATGATCTTTAAGACCTTTTCCAACCTAAATGATTCTATAATTCTATGATTCTCTCCACTGCCCTGGGGACACATCAGCTCTTGTAAGAGGAACAAGAAACATAAGAGACAATTGTACTGCTTTTTACAGGGATCAGGTTTCTTTCCAGGCATATGTGAACACACTCCTCTATAAATTGAAAGGGTACTAAGCAAGTTTGCAGACGACACAAAACCCAGAGGAGCTGTTGCCTCCTCTGGCAAAAGACTCAATTTGATCCAAGAGTGGTTTGGATTGGATATTAGGGGAAATTTTTTCACAGAAAGAGTTGTCATTGGAACAGGCTGCTCAGGGAGTCACCATCCCTGGTGGTATTGAAAAGACATATAGTGCTCTGCCACCCTCAGTGTAAAGAAGTTCTTCCTCGTGTTGAGGTGGAACTTGTGTTTCAGTTCATGGCCACTGCCCCTCGTCCTGCCACTGGGCACCACTGAACAGGGTCTGGCACCGTCCTCTGACACCCCGTGGATGTGTTTGCATGGACTGATGAGATCCCCTCTGCCTCTTCTACAGACTAACCAGGCCTAGCTCCATCACCAATCTCAGAGGTCTTTTCTGCTACTGAGATTATACTTAAAAATAAAAATAAAAAAAGCTGATTAGGTGATCGGGGGAAAAACAATACGTGACAGAGCTGACAACTGGCAGCAAGAACCAGCAGCTCTGAGGCAAACCTGCTGCAGCGACGAGAGGGGGCACGGATTTAGCAGAGCTTGGGGGGGGGCACACAGCAGCGACTCTGGGAATGCATCGGCCTCACATGGAGGCGTGGGCGCCGTGTTCCCAAAATAATTTCTGCTTATGCAATTCCCTCTCCGAGTCAGCAGGTGACAGCTGGGCACCACACTTGCCTGGCAGCCCTGGAGCCGCTCCTGCTGGAAATGCTGAGAGAATATGTTGCTCTCCAGCTTGTGCAGACCAGAACTCCTGCTGCTCTTCCCTGCCAGCTTCCAGCACCCACCGTGTGCTCCATGCTGCCACAACGAGCAGCCTGAGAGGGCCATGGCTGTGTCTGTCAGCACCCCAGGCTTGTGCCGGTTTGAAGTGTCGATGGAGTGGTGGAATGAATCCTGGCATCACAGAACCATTTGGGTTGGAAAAGCCCCCTGAGATCAATCATGGAGTACAACTGTTCCCCCAGCACTGCCAAGGCCACCACTCCATGTCCCCAAGTGTCACATCCACATAGCTTTCAAATCTATCCAGGGATGGGGACTCCACCACTGCCCTGGGCTGTCTGTGCCAGGGCTGGACAACCCTTTCCATGAAGACACTGTAAGCCTTTCCTGGCACAGCTTGAGGCCGCTTCCTTTTGTCCTGTTGCTGTTCCCTGGGAGCAGAGCCTGACCCCCACCTGGCTCCACCCTCCTGTCAGGGAGTTGGAGAGAGCAAGAAGCCTTTGTCAGGGGAAGGCTTCTCCTGTGCCCCACGTGGCGCCTCCTGAGCCTCCTCTTCTCCAGGTTGAGCCCTCCCATCTCCCTCAGCCGCTCCTGGTACTCCAGCCCCTTCCCCAGCTCCATTCCCTCCTCTGGACACACTCCAGCCCTGCAATGTCCTTCTTGCCATGAGGGGCCCAGAACTGCCCCCAGGACTGGAGATGCCTCAGCAATGCCCAGGTGCCCTTGGCCTCTTGCCCACCTGGACACACCTGGGCTCGTGTTCAGCTGCTGTTAACCAGCACCTCCAGGGACTTTTCCAGTTTTCCAGCCACTCTGTGTCCAGCCTGAGGTGCTGCAGGGCGTTGTGGTGGCCCAAGGGGAGTGCAGGCAGTGATGTCACCTGAGAGTAGCCACATTTATCAGGAGCGTCCCTTGTCCTAGGCGAAGTCACTCACTCCATGAGAACTCCAGGCGGATGCAGATCCTCACTTGAACACAACAGTTTTTTTACCTGGCAAATGTCAGATAAGGAAATTGCCCATGTTTAATAAGTGTTAAAATAAACTCACGTGACGCACATGGCCCTGCAGTGCTGGGGTGTTTCTCTAGAGCTCACAACAATGGCGTTGTTCAGCTGGCACCGTGCTTGTTTTGCTGGTAAGAAAATTATATACATCCTCTTCCTCCTGTGTCCCAGGCACCTTCTCTCACACTCTTGTTGTCTCTTTTTCTTTGTTTCACTGTAGTTATTCTTGTACCGTGACATTCTGCTCCTGGCTTGACATTTCCTTCTCATGTTCAGGTCTTAAATGAATTACTCATATTTTTTTTTTTTTTAAAGTCTCTCTTTTCATCTTTTGTTCTTTCTTCCTTTAAGTTTCCTGCTTTGAGCTTTCTGGAGGGTTTCCTGACGTGGGTGATTGTGGCTGAGAACTGTAAAATTACACTTTTCACCCTCAGGGCACAGTGTGTGCCTTAGTACTTCACACTGCAGGTTGGCTTTAAGGGTAAGAATAAGAGGTAAAAATCCTCTAGCTGAGGATTTCTTTCCTCTTTATTAAAATTCTATGGAATCTGGTTCTGATGTCACTCATATCTGCTTTATACTCTGAGGGACCTATATGGGTATAAGTTAAAATAAGGGAGTTTCGAACGGGATGTAAGGAGAAGTTATTAGAATCCCAGAATAGTTTGGTTTGGGAGGGACGTTAAGGATCATCCCGTTCCAAATGCCCTGCAATGGGCAGGGACACCTTCTACTAGACCACATTGCTCCAAGCCCCATCCAACGTGGCCTTGAACACTTCCAGGGATGGGGCAGCCACAGCTTCTCTGGGCAACCTGTGCCAGGGCCTCCCCACCCTTACAGGGAAGAATTTCTTCCCAATATCCCATCTAACCCTGCCCTCTGGCAGTGGGAAGCCATTCCCCTTGCCCTGTCACTCCAGGCCCTTGTCCAAAGTCCCTCTCCAGCTCTCTTGGAGCCCCTTTAGGTACTGGAAGGTGCTCTAAGGCCTCCCCATAGCCTTCTCTCCTCCAGGCTGAACACCCTCAACTCTCCCAGCCTGGCTCCTCAGCCCCTGGAGCACCTCTGTGGCCTCTGGACTCACTCCAGCAGCTCCACATTGTTCTGATGTTGGGTGCCCCAGACCTGGAGGCAGCACCTGGACATTCCTCTGGTGTCCCTTCTGGAGCTGCTGTCCCCAAAGTCCGGCCATTCTTCCCCTGAGCTCTTCCAGCAGATCCTTCTTAAAAACACTGTGAGGAGTGTTTAACCCAAGTGGGATGATTTTGGCTGGTCTGTGGAGTTGTTCTGGTTGTCCAGAGGGCAGGGTGACCCCTGGCAGGGTGACCTCTGGCAGGGGGTCTGGCCAGCAGCTGGAGACAAATTGGAGATGAGAGAATCTTCATCCAAGCTCTGGGAGTGGAAACAGCTCCTGCTGGCAGGGGAAGCTTGGAGGAGCTTGGAGCCTGCCACGTTGGCTACAAGGTGGGCCAAAAAATGACGACTGCCAGGAGAAGTGCAATCAGCACAGAAACACGCATGGGCTCTGACCTGTCTCCCTAGGCCAGCAAGGAGCTTCCTTAAGTACTTCCTTAATGCACCCTGTGGTGCGCAGCCCTCGGCACAGCCTGACACGTGCGTTTCCTTGTTTTTCTTCCCCTCTGGCACAGCTTTGGGAACGTGCTTCTTTGAGTAAATGAATAGCTTGAAGGGGCAGAAGTGGTTCTGTCAGTGGGACACATCCACCGAGATCCTGCCCAAATGAACTGAGGATCTCAGCCTGAGAGATTCCCTCACAACAGCCCTAGGGAAAAGTTTTTTCTGGAATAACATGCAGTGAAAATGTCCTTCTAAATAACTGCAGGGCTGGTAGCCGGTGCTTGCAGGACTTGATTGATGCTGGTATTCTCTGCAGGGAGGTTGGTTGATGCTTCCAAGGTATCACATGAGGACCTGGTGTCATTGGATCAAGGAAAAATCAATCCATAGCTTAAGGCTTCCCAGCAGCACCTCCGTTTGCACCAAGCCAAGAGGCTCCTCCATCACCCAAAGTCTTGGAGACCCAGCTGGATATCAGGAATGACCAGACAGGATCAAACTCCATCAGGGTGAAGGGTGACTTCTGAGCTCCTTCCCGCCCTATGGGAGAAGGAAGGCAGGCAGCGATGATTCCAGAAACACAACCAGAGATGCTACTTTGGGATAAGTTGCTTCTCCTGAGCCTGTGGGCCCATATCACAGCTGGGCTCCAGCCCATCCATTGAACTCCTGCCCATTTCCAACAATTTGTGTCATTAGTACATGCAAACAGTGCATGCAGCCCTCGAGTACAATTTCCTTGGAAAAAAAAAAGAGATTGTGCTGAAAGACTTGTGTGGAGGGGGCTACTGTACTAGTCTGGGCACTCCACTCCCAGCTCTGCCCGTGACACCAATGTAGCTCTTGTCACCTCTCTGTGACATCCTTGCCTTGCCAAACTCAACAGGAATTTCATCCCAGACTTCACTGGAGCCAAGATGTTGCCCTTTGCATCTGCCTGTAGCTCCCTGTGAGCTCTGACAGTCCCTCTTGCCAGGCACCTGTTTCACAGCCACCACCTCTGTCCTCCCCTCCCCTTCCTGCTATTAAGCCCTGATTTGCATTAGCTCAAAAGCTTCCCTGCCAGAAAAACTCTTCAATCCAAGGAATTGGTGAGGATTAAAGAGGGTTGGCTAATGTTTAAGGTACCCAAAGGAAAAGGTATGACAGAACAGCAAATAATATGAAGACAAACACCCACCCCCCCCCACACTTTAAAACCACTCAAACTGTGACAGAAGGATAAAACATGATCCATCTGTGGTTCCCTTCCATACAAATTTCCTCCCTGCTTCAAAAGCAGGATACTGACAGTAATTACCCGAGTGACACAACCACGGTCCCCTCTGTCGTCTTGTTTACGAGGATCCCAGACCTGTGACACACAACCCTCCTCATCCTACGCAGGCAGTGCTGCAACCAGCCAAAAAGGAAGAGCCCTTGGCTTTGATCTCCAGGCAAAAAGTTGAGGCTTAGTCATAGAAAAAAGGAAATAACCCGCTACACACACAATGTTGGTGCAAAATATGAGTCTCTCCTGCCAAGGGCAGAGACCCAGAACAGCTCTCCTGAGGTTGTTTGAGGTGATGATCCTACCCTGGGTAGGATTCCCTAGGTGGGTGCTGCTCCATGCATTGACATGACCACCTGGTGAGGTTTATGCTGTCTTTTTCCCCAGTTTTTTCCCCCTTTTCATCAAGAAAATGACTGCACAAAGGGAACACTTTCCCTTCCTTGCCAGCAACAGAGAAATTAACCTTGTCAGACAACAGACCCACGGTGACAAAGGGCAGATTACCAGCCCAGTTTTTTGATAAAAATAAGAGTTTATTAACACAGTCGATTGCTCTATAAAATCAAAACATACTTTCACACGCTTAATCTCATTGATAAGGTGGAAGTTTTGCAGGCTGGGAACAGTTTGCTCAGGGTTTAATGGTTGACTCATTAGCGGTTTGACCAGATTTGAGTATTTTCTACATTTGGAATAAAAACCTTAGACAAGAACATTTTATCTCTTTCCCAGTCCCCAGGTGACCAAATGCATCTCACACCAGCACCTTGGCAATATAAGGACTTCATTTACAGTCCATGACCTTGAGGTGCAACCCCAGAGTCATGGAATATTAAAGGTTGGAAGGGACCATAAAGATCTAGTCCCACCCCCCTGCCTTAGGCAGGGACACCTTCCACTAGTCCTGGTTGCTCAATCCAGCCTGACCTTGAACAATGCCAGGGTTGGGGCATCCACAGCTATCCTGATTTTAGCCCTGAATCCTAATTTTATCCCACTTTGAGCAGGTCTGTGATTGCCCAGCCCCAACAGGACACTGTGTCCCTATGCCCTGCCGTCACTCCCTGCCTGTCACTGCTGTGCTGTGCCCCCCTCACCCCATCCCCCACCCTAATGCCCTATGTCCCACACCCCATGGTGACAGAGGCCCTCTCTCCTCCCCGTGGCCCTCCTGCAGCCCTGGGCCCTATCAGCTACCCCCAGGCCCCTGAACTTCACCCTGTGCCTTATCCCCCCTCCCCAGGCCCTGTCCTCTATCTCTAAGCCCTGTCCCTGGGCACGGAGCTCCCTGTCCCCAACCTTCTAATCCCTGTCTTTTATACCCACTGCAGGCCCCACTACCTCTCTCAGACATGACCCATGTCCCCCGGCCCCTTCCTCACTCCCAACCCCCAACCCCCCATCCCCTCCCTTCCTGTCCACTCTCTCATCCTCCATCTCTGCTCCGTCTCCCATGTCTGTCCCCTCTCCCAGCACTCCCGTCCTCCATCCTTTCCCCATCCCCCACCCCCTAT